CCCTTTGCTATGGCAAGCCTAAATACGTTCAGGAGTAAAAATGTTTTTAACAAGTCACATAATAAGTTGCAATAATAGTGTTTAACATGATTTTTTAATGATTACCTCATCTCTGTACCCCACACCTTATACCCCATCTATAAGGTCCCTCAGTCGAGCAGTAAATTTCAAACACAGATTCAACCACATAGACCAGGGAGGTTTTCCAATGCCTCAAAAAGAAGTGCACCTATTGCAGACATTGAATATCCCTTTGAGCATGGTGAATTTATTAATTACACTTTGGATGGTGTATCAATACACCCAGTCACTATAAAGATGCAGGCGTCCTTCTTAACTCATTTGCCGAAGAGAAAGGAAACCGATCAGGGATTTCACCATGACGCATATGGTGACTTTAAAACAGTTAAAGAGTTCAATGGCTGTGATAGAAGAAACCTGAGGATGGATCAACAACATTGTAGTTACTCCACAATACTAACCTAATTGACAGAGTGAAAAGAAGGAAGCCTGTACAGAATACAAATATTTCAAAACACGCATCCTGTTTGCAACAAGGCACTAAAGTAAAACTGCAAAGAATGTGGCAAAGCAATTCACTTTTTGTTCTGAATACAAAGTGTTATGTTTGGGGCAAATCCAATACAACACATTACTGAGTACCACTCTTCATATTTTAAAGAATGGTGGTGGCTGCATCATGCTATGAAATAACACATATGGAATCATGTAGTAAACAAAAAAGTGTTAAACAAATCAAAATCATTAAGGACTGGGGAGTTTTTCAGAATAAAAAAGAAACTGAATGGCGCTAAGCACAGGCAAAATCCTAGAGGAAAACTTGGTTCAGTCTGCTTTCCACCAGACACTGGGAGATGAATTCACCTTTCAGCAGGACAATAACCTAAAGCACAAGGCCAAATATACTGTACACTAGAGTTGCTTACCAAGATGACATTGAATGTTCCTGAGTGGCCTAGTTACAGTTTTGAATTAAATCAGCTTGAAAATCTATGGCTAGACTTTAAAATGGTTTTCCTGCAATGATCAACAACTAACTTGACAGAGATATGGCATATAGAAGCAAACCGGATGGACATCATGAAAATGATCGGAGAGGTTGAGAGTAGAAGAAGTTCAGGAGCAAAAAATAAATAAAAATAAATATATATATATATATATATATATATATATATATATATATAATAGAATTATTGTTAAATTAACTCTGTCCATAAGGTGTAGATAGTAATTATAGACCGGAAGTAGAGGCCTGGGCATTGTTGTTCACTAATTTACTCCAAGTAGGGAAAGGATGGTGGGGTTGAAAAGTAATAAAGGGGAGTATATATATAAAAAAAAACAAAAAAAAACATGGGGGATTGGAAGTGATGCAGACAATTACATTGATAGAAGATACAATCTATCTGCAATATTAAGCTGATCCATTCCCCCTGAAAAAAAACAAAAACAAATAAAAAAATAACAACTAACTTGACAGAGCTTGAAGAATAATGTGAAAATATTGTACAATCCTGGTGTGCAAAGCTCTTAGAGACTTAACCAGAAAGACTCGCAGCTGTAATTGCTGCCAAAGGTGATTCTAACATGTATTGACTCAGGGGTGTGAATACTTATGTAAATGAGTTATTTCTGTATTTCATTTCCAATAAAATTGCTAAAATGGCTAAAAACATGTTTTCACTTTGTCATTATGGGGAATTGTGTATAAATGGGTGAAAATCCTTTCTGAAGGCACTGTATTGTCATGAATCTTGCCCTGGATGCTCTGCAGAGTGGTCACCATTACACAGCCACAAGGTCATACAATCTTAAACCTAACCTTAACCCTAACCTTAACCACACTGCTAACTCTAATGCCTAAACCTAATCTTAAATTAGGACAAAAAGCACATTTTTGCTTTCATATTTTTTTATGATATAGCCAATTTTGACTTTGCAGCTGGCCCATCTAGCGGAAATCGCTCAATTCTGCCTCCAGGGCAAGATTAATGACAATAAACGTCAACCTTCCAGTTTTCTAGGAAATGGCAAGAAGTGAATGAATGAGTTAGTGAAAACCGAATTGAATATATGAATGAATGAACAAATGAATTAATATTTGAATGCATCTATAAATAAGATTGAGTGGTACTGGATAAAAGGGTTGGGGTCAATTCCGTTTCAATTCCAGTCAATTCAGAAAGTGAACCAAACTCCAATTCAAATAATTTTTTTCCCTCCTTTGAAAGCATTGAAGAGAATTAGAATTGGAATTTTAGTGTACAGTACTTCCTGAATTGAATGGAATTTAAATGGAATTGTCCCCAACCCTGTTGGATAGAGTGAGTGAATTAATAAATGAATGAAACAACTAATACATTAATAAAGAATCAATTAATGTATATTCAAAGATGATGATGTCATTTTGCAGTGCCTCTCTGGGAGCTTCCTAACAGAGAGCAGAGAGGGGGAGATGAACACTCACAGTTAAAGGATCGTGCCACAGCTCCGTGAGAGAATGTTGAGTTGGAACAGACTCCTCCTGTTCTAAAGATTCCCACCTCTCTTCTTAGGGTCTGTGGTAGGGAAAACACACACACGCAAACACACACACACATACACACTTTTCCTCGTGGGAGGGCTTCACTAGCGAAGCAGACGGCTTCCAAACCACAGAGCCCTTGTTCCCTGACACGACTCTGTTGCCATGTTGGAGGGAAGTGAGCGGAACAGGTAGTCATGTCTATGGAACAGGGAGTCATGTCTGTGGAACAGGGAGGCAGTCACAGAGGAGCTGGTGGGTCATTCCGACCAGTTGGTTGCCAGGTTGGAGGGAAGCAAGCAAACCGGGAGGGAGATGTCTTCCAAATGATTGGGGGACAGCCAGTCTCTCAGAGAGATGCACTGTGGTGTGATTATTAATATCTGGTGGGTTGCCAGGTTTGAGAAGATGGAGCAGAACAGGGAGGCAGAAAGAGAGAAGCTCTGGTGTGTCATTAGAGTAAGAGCTGGTTGTGTTGCCAGGTTGGAGAAGATGGAGCAGAACAGGGAGGCAGACAAAGAGAGAAGCACAGTGGTGTCATTAAGATGAATGGAGGAGGAGAAGGGGAGAAGCCTCAGGGTGGCTCTTAAAGAGACGAGGGGAGGATAGGACTGTGACTGCTTACAGGAACAGAGCTAGCACAATGCATGCTACTTAGAGACACACAGCTGGATTGACGGACATTACTGTTTATGTGTGTTATTATTATTATGCTACACTGCTGTGAGTTTGAGTTAACTGGTTTGCACTTGCGAGTCTGCAGGTGTGTGTGTGTGTGTGTGTGTGTGTGTGTGTGAGAGAGAGAGAGAGAGAGAGAGAGAGAGAGAGAGCTGTGTCAATACCTGTACATGTGTGCGTGCGCATGTACTTTCATGTCCCAAAGTCCTTTTAGCCTTTTGTTGCAGTGTGGCATCCGTTGGCTGCATTCCAACTTACTGAACTGCTCCACTTACAACATGGTCTCTTCATCCGTGTGTGTTCATGCATGCATGATTGTTTTTATCTCTGTGAATGTGAATTAGTCCTGCACATTGCTTGCTGAGATCTGAAGGGGCTTGTCTGACACCAGACTGTGTGGTCCCTGTCAAGGTCTTCCATCCATGCAGTGTAAAGCGGGGCAAGGCTGAACTTAATCCCCAAAACAGGTGTGGTGAGTGGGGCTGCACCCCACGGCGGTCCCATGAGGATCCAGGACAATTGTGAACTGTACAATACAGCTAACAGCCATAGACAAAATACAAGACCCATTCTGTTTGAGCCTTCGCACTTATTCCCGCAATGAAAGAGACATTGGATGGAATTGGAAGAAGCAAACATATTTCAGAGAAATGTTTTCAATATTTTGACTGCATGCGGTTATTATAATGATTCTGTTTTAAGAACAGATACAGATTATGTTTCAATGTGTCAAGCATCTTGCACAGCTCTCGCAAATGCTTGAACAATGGCACACATTGTGCAACTCAGGATCCTGCTGCCTTACAAGTTTTTTCTTTCTCTTGTAAATTATTCTGGCTGTTTATTATGGCGATATAGCCTATCGTAATTAAATGAATTGTTGGTAACATTTAGCATAAAATATATATTTACATGGCAGCTATTACATGGGAAGTCGTGCAATGTAATATGTAGCCTGGTTTGTGGCATGTGTAATTTCATTTACATTACATTTTAATTTCAATGTGCGTAATTGAAAATATTAGCATATATCAATAACTCATGCATTATGTGTGAAAATGTTATCACAGGTATAGCCGTTTTAAAACAATACCTACTCTAATTATAGGCCAGGGCTATTCTAATCACACTGGACCGAAAAAACCAATAGGCCTACACAGTAATGCTTGATAAGATTTGATTAAGTTTAAGTTTTTCTTCAACAGATACGTAATACTCATACCTCCTTTATCAGTTAGTTCTGATGAGAGGGTTTGACTAGGAGGGAGCAGCGGCGAGGGTATCTGAAAACTGATCCAGTGAATTGGAGATGGCGCTGTGTACAGTGTGAGCGAGTTAACAGCCAAAGTTTGTCCAGCGCCGGAAAGTTCGTAGGAGAGGTGACCCGTGATTCTAACAAGAGCTTTCTTCTCACATTACCCACGGGATCGCAGTCCAATACTGCGGACTGGAGACACTACGTTTTCTGCCCAATGTTTCATGTACGGGTTGAATGGATTATCTCTAACGGAATACTTGAAAACCAGGAATTAGTCTACAGTTCGCTGCCTGTTCTGCAGTTCTGTAGTTTCAATGGGCTATCCGCTATCTTATCACAGTGAGTAGGCTGAACGCGATACGCTGTCTTGTTGCATAGCCTACTTTTGTAAAGAAGGTGTGCGTCTGTTAAAATGAATTGCCGCTTTTTGTATTATGTCATCTAGTCTGGGGTGATTCTAGAACTATGAACGACCCCCGTGACAAGGATTTAATACCGATATCTCGGAAACACCGACTCATGGCTGCAGCAATGCCCGGGGACGAGAGCCCATTGCCCGGCAACACTTCCAGGGCTGATCGGAATGGGATAGGATTGGTTCACTGTTTTATTTGTGGAAGCGGCGTTTCGACCGGAAAAGAATTGAGATTACAAGTGAAATATCCGAAAGAGAACGGTCCGTTTTTCCCGTTTTTACAAAACCAGGAGCCAGCGCCGGGGGCATGTGAAGTCAGCCTGGATGGACACGCTATAGTGTGCGCGGTGTGCCACTGTTTTCTGGGGGAGCAGTGGAACTCGTTCGAGCGGACTAGGACACCCATAGAGAAGCGCATGTACTGGCTAAAGAGGCCGTACCAGTGCGACTCTCGGCGGATACCACAGGAGTGGAACATCTCCTACGACCTGGAGCAGAGAATCAGTGTCAGCAGCCATAATTACGACGGAAACGAGTCGGATTTCTCCTCTTTCTCGGAAAACGAGAACATGTCAGACCAAGAACTGGATTTAGTGGACCGCGCCGGTGTGAGCAAGGAGAAGTGCAGAACATCTGGCGGCAGCAACAGCAAAACTCCCAGAGACGGTAGCAGGAAGAACAACAACAGTGTTATCAGTGTTAAAAACAGCCCCGACTCTCAACGGGCTATCCGCTATCCCGTGGGCATTTACCGGGCACAGGACTCGCCGAAATCAGATAGCGCCATGCCGCCCAGGCGCGGTGCTAAAATTATGAATCATGTCTCTCAATCATCAGTATCTCTGGCCCAGTCCCAAGAGATTGTGTCTCAGAGATGCTATGGCCAGCCCTCACCTCGACACACCTGTGCAGGACAACGGGATCATTATGCGCAACAGGCAGTGGCTAGCGGAGGGGAATGTCAGACACTCTGACCCGCACCCTCTCCAACGCGCTGCCGACAGCAGCTGTAGCGCAGCCAGGCATCCCTCCCTCATATTCCACCAGAAGGGAGAGGATCTAGCTGAAGCTGCCGACGAGCTGTCACCCGTTGGCGCCGCTGTCACCTCTAGGCGCGACGCAGCAGCCCCTAGAGAACGTGTTCTGGGCAGGTTTACCGCCTCTGACAACTCTGACAATGACCACGAGATCAACATAACAAGTGACGACGACCGCGAGGTGTTTGAAGCAGCTGGCAGCAGCAGAGAGAGGGTATTAGCCCTGCTGAGACCACCCAGGGACGCTGCAGGGAGGGTCATTGCCATGCCCCAGAGTGGTGCCAGTGGTGGTGCCCACAGGAGTACCAGTCCCGAAGAGTGTGTGTGTTACATCTGCGGCAGTGGGCTGTGGCAGGGCGGGAGGTTCCGTGTGTGTGTGCAGAAGCAGGAGAGGGCAGCCAGCGAGCCCTTCTTCCCCTTCCTGTGGTTACACAGCCCTCCCCCTGGCGCTGTGCCCCTCACCCCGGGGGGCACCACCCTGGTCTGTGCCAGCTGCCACACCTCCCTCATGCAGCAGTGGCAGGGCTTCCAGCTGGCCGACGTGCCCGTTCTCCAGCGCCTCTACGTGGTCCCCCTCAACCAGGGCTCCTCCACCCCTGCACTAGCCCCGGGCCACCCTCCCTGCCTCACTCCCCAGGAAAGGCACCCCTCAGAGCCCCCGGACCGCCTACCTAAGTCTCAGGCTTCCTGTGAGGCCTGTTTCCTCTGTGGCCAGGAGTGCGGGCGGGATGTGAGGGTGGCATATGCACGGGCCGGCGTGGGCAAAGCCCGCGGTGCCATGTATTTCCCCTTCATCAACCTGCTGCCGTGCCCACCTGGCGCCCAGGGAGTGAGGAACGGCCGGGTGCACTGCTGCCCTCCATGCCACGCCATCCTGGAGGAGATCTGGGGGGCGTACCGCCTCAGCCTCAGTGAGGACCTCATCACCTCTGTCACCTCCTTCCTGGGGAGGTACCATGCAGCGCTGGCCACAGGGGGAGCCGGACTGGCTCATTCCCAAATGGGGGTGTCCTCTTCCTCCTCCTCCTCTTCCTCTGGCCATGGTGGGTCTGTATCAGTGTGTTACCTGTGTGGGGCAGAGCTAGGGGCCAGGGGGGAGTTCCAGCTCCATGTCAACCCTCCCGGGCGGTGTGGAGAGAGAGAGCCCTTCTTTCCCTTCCTCACCATCCACCCCCCCGCTCCCCGTGCCAAACCTGTCGACGCCACCGGCCTGGTGTCAGCCTGTGCCCTCTGCTATCACGACCTGCATGCCCAGTGGGCTCAACACGAGAGCCAGGGTTCTGCCACCTCCAGCTCTACAGCGCCAGCCCCAGCCTCCTCCACCCCCCAGCCAGCCAGCTCTCCCTGGGCCAGACAGTACAGCTGCGAGGCCTTTGTTTGCTTCTTCTGCAGACAAGAGCAGAGGCGTCAGGGGGGGCTGCGTGCGGTCACCGTGGCCAGGCTGCCCGTGTTCCTGTACGCCCCGCGCGGGCGCCGCACCCTCCTGGTGGATGATGGGGGGAAATTGGTGATTGGCTCATGTGTGGAATGTAAGGCCATGGTGCTGGCGGGACAGAGCATGCAGCAGGAGAGAGACAGGGACCGGGAGGGACGGGGAGACAGGAGGACAGAGACAGAGTCACCGCCACCTTCCCCTACATCACGCCCCAGACACAAGGTAAGACACAAGGTTTCTCTCTTTTCACTTCACAGCTCCACAAGAGCAGTTTGTATGCGATCCGCGACACCATGCTTCTTGGCTGAGGCACAGGGGTTTCCAGAAGTGTGCAGATGTTTGATGCTCAAAGTTGACTATTGTGGGTGCATTGTATATTTTAGTGGTGTAGTATGCATCGGTAGATTGTGTGCTTGTTCATGTCTGTTAGTTAGTGGTTTGTGTAACCTAACTGACGTTTGTGGATTTTTTCTGTTATATAAGTGTGCAGGCTTTGTACACATATGTACGCCCATGCCTGTGTCTGTGTGTGTAGGTAGTGTTTATTATGGACCAGTGCTCACTGCTGTTATTGCTATTCTCCCCCATTATGGGAAAGCTGCTCTGAAACAGTGAGAGTTGGAGTGTTCTCGAGTGTTAAGGTTGTGTGTATGCGCACACCAGTGTGTGTGTGTGTTCCTTTAGCTCTCTGACTGGCAGGGAAGTGAGCAGTGTAGGCAGGGGCTCCGTACAGCACCGGAGCCCATCATCAGAAAAACAAACATTTGGATCAGAACTCTAACAGTAAACAACACAGAAAGACTGGGGGGATTTCAAGGCCAAGACCTCATTTTCTTCTTGTGTGTGTTTATTTGTGTGTGTTTCTGCCCAAGTATGTTTGTTTTTGTACTTTGTTTTGGCTGTATACAGGATTCCATACGTCAGTGCTGTGTGTATGTGCGTCCATGCGAGGCTACTACAGATTGTATCCTTTATCAGATCAACTAGAGGGCTGATATCCACTAATGATACTAACATTACTACTAACATGATACTAACACTAACAGTGTCAGGAACAGCTGTAGACTCTCTATTAGACAGTGTTGTGTAATGCTCATATCTGTTTAATAAATCTTGCTCTCTCCATATCCATAGTATCTGCTGCAGAGTGTAAATATGGAGCGGAGACTCATCCTGTCAGTCTTACTGTAGTGTGTGTGTGTGTGTGTGTAATCATGCAGTGACTGATTCAGTGCTGCTGTTATTGTTCCTGTAAGTCCAGTCTATGTGGTCCAGATGGAGGTCTTCAAAGAACTAGACCTCCTCTACTCTCTCTCATGAATAAATGAAAGGAAAAAGGAGAATAGAACTTGTAGATGAACTTGTTCCACATCTGTAGCGATAGACCCTGTTCCACGGAGGCCACAGCAGCAGTTACTGTTGCTACTACTTACACAACTGGTACCGAGATGAATGGCTCAAAGAAAAAGCAATGTCCTCAACTGGTATGCTCCCATGGGGATTTAATCAGACGCACAAAAAAGACAACATTTTTGATCCCTGTTGGATCTTTGTCAGGTCACGGTGAAACACACCTACTGAAATAACCTCTGGAGCCGGGATGGGCAACTCCAGTCCTCGGGGGCCGGAGTGGTGTCACACTTTTCTCCCATCCCTAGCAAACACAGCTGATAAACTAATTGCATTCTAAACTGAAGATCATGAGACATAGCTGGGGCTTGGGCAAAAGTGTGACACCAATCAGGCCCCCAAGGACTGGGGTTGCCCGTCATCCCTGCTCTAGAGGCATGTACATCCAGTCAATTGAATACATATAATACATGAATTGAAGTGTGTGATTAAAGTGGGACTGCAGATAGAGAGGAGGGAGAGAGGAGGAAGAGAGGAAGGAGAGAGGAGGGAGAGAGGAGGAAGAGAGGAGGGAGAGAGGAGGGAGAGAGGAGGAAGAGAGGAGGGAGAGAGGAGGGAGAGAGGAGGAAGAGGAGGGAGAAGAGAGGAGGGAAAGAGGAGGGAAGAGAGGAGGAAGAGAGGAGGGAGAGAGGAGGGAGAGAGGAGGAAGAGAGGAGGAAGAGAGGAGGAAGAGAGGAGGGAGAGAGGAGGAAGAGAGGAGGGAGAGAGGGAGAAGAGAGGAGGGAGAGAGGAGGAAGAGAGGAGGGAGAGAGGAGGGAGAGGATACACTGTTGGGACTAGAGCTGATGAAGGAATCCTGCAATACTGTTTCTCACGCTGCAAGAATGCATGTTTAGATTGATACTACTCAACAGAGCAATATTTACAGTGTGAAACAGAGAAACACTCAACCTCATAATCAAAGATGATCATTCTCAGCATGTGAATCATGTTATTGTTGTAATAACCATGCAATTCCAGGTTTTGATGGAATATGTCTGTCATATTGCTGGTATTCAATCCTGTGGAGCTCAGTTGGTAGAGTGTGGCGCTTGCAACGCCAGGGTTGTGGGTTTGATTCCCACGGGGGGCCAGTATGAAAAATGTATGCACTCACTAACTGTAAATCGCTCTGGATAAAAGTGTCTGCTAAATGACTAAAATTTAAATGTAAAATGAGGTCCAAGCAGACACATCAGTGGGGAGGTGGGGATCTATTAATTAATAATAATTGAATCCCAGTAATCTGAGCATTTTACTCCCCAGAGAGCAGAGATCAGCTCATACAGAAGAGTAGAGTTTGTAAGTCACTCTGGAGAAGAGCGTCTGCTAAATGACTTAAATGTAAATGTAGAGTGAGAACAGCTATGGGGGTCGTTCAGCTGTCCAATACTCTTATTATCTCTCTCTCTCTCTCTCTCTCTCTCTCTCTCTCTCTCTCTCTCTCTCTCTCTCTCTCTCTCTCTCTCTCTCTCTCTCTCTCTCTCTCTCACTCACTCACTCACTCTCACACACACTTACAGTCTAGTCCACTCTGTTTTGCTGTGTTCATCAGGTATGTAGATCAGATCACACACTCAGAGAGAAGGCTAGATCAGAATCCCGGAGCAGGCTTATTTGGAGTGGGGGTTAAGGGGGGGTAAGAGTGTCGTGGTGTGAGAGGGATTTGAGGAGTCTGAGGGGGTGCAGGTGACAGAGCTGTTTTTGGCCTGGGCCAGGCAATGACCTCATGGCTGTGGAAGTGCTTAGATGGGCTGAGTGTGTGTGTGTGAGTCGGCTGTGTGTGTGAGAGCTGGGTGTGTGTGAGAGAGCTGGGGTGTTAGAGGGGCTGAAAGGGGGCGGTGGGGGCCTGGGAGAAACAGGTGCGTGTCCTCCAGTGACACGCTATCTGCCCCAGAGAGGAACTGTCATCGCTCTCATGTCACCAGAGGAGCTTCCATCTGCTTCCCCTGACCCCACCCCCCTCTCCTCTCTCCCATTCCCTCTCTCCTTCCCTCTTCCCTCTGCTCTCTCTTGCCCTCTCCTTCCATCTCTTCTCCCTCCTCCTATATCGCTAAAAAGCAGAGGGAGGGGGAAGTGTGGGAGAAGAACAGGGTGAATATGGAGAGAAGGGATGAGAAAATGAACCATAAAGGAACCGGTTGACTTTGTCTTTTAGCTAGGTCTTTAACAATCAAGTTACTGTTGTAAAAAATCAGAGGGAGGGGCTAGGTGCTGCATATGCACCTACCTTCACCAACTAATAGTACCTGCACTGTGGAAATCACATTTTTGGGTGTGTGTGCGTTGCGTGCATATGTGTATGTGTGTCATTTAATGTACCTTGTTAAAATGAGGTAGTCCTGTCCGATTCCTTGTTAACATCTAAATAAGGTCTAAATTAGCCCATGAAATGAGACCTGCTACTGCTGCAGTCTCTACTAGCTAGACGTGTTAAATATAGTAGACTCCAACACACACACACACACAGATACACACACACACACACACACACACACACACACATAGACATAGACACACTTTCACACTCTTCACATACGCTGCATTTTCTCATCCCTTCTCTCCATATTCACCCTGTTCTTCTCCCACACTTCCCCCTCCCTCTGCTTTTTAGCGATATAGGAGGAGGGAGAAGAGATGGAAGGAGAGGGCAAGAGAGAGCAGAGGGAAGAGGGAAGGAGAGAGGGAATGGGAGAGAGGAGAGGGGGGTGGGGTCAGGGGAAGCAGATGGAAGCTCCTCTGGTGACATGAGAGCGATGACAGTTCCTCTCTGGGGCAGATAGCGTGTCACTGGAGGACACACACCTGTTTCTCCCAGGCCCCCACCGCCCCCTTTCAGCCCCTCTAACACCCCAGCTCTCTCACACACACCCAGCTCTCACACACACAGCCGACTCACACACACACACTCAGCCCATCTAAGCACTTCCACAGCCATGTGGTCCTCTGTAGCTCAGCTGGTAGAGCACGGCGCTTGTAACGCTAAGGTAGTGGGTTCGATCCCCGGGACCACCCATACACAAAAAATGTATGCACGCATGACTATCTATCATGATAGCCTAGTCACTTTTAGCCCTACCTACAGTACCAGTCAAAAGTTTGGACACACCTACTCATTCAAGGGTTTTTCTTTATTTTTACTATTTTTTACATTGTAGAATAATAGTGAAGACATCAAAACTATGAAATAACACATATGGAACCATGTAGTAACCCAAAAAGTGTTAAACAAATCAAAATATATTTTATATTTGAGATTCTTCAAATAACTACTCTTTGCCTTGATGACAGCTTTGCACACTCTTGGCATTCTCTCAACCAGCTTCACCTGGAATGCTTTTCCAACAGTCTTGAAGGAGTTGCCACATATGCTGAGCACTTGTTGGCTGCTTTTCCTTCACTCTGCCGTCCGACTCATCCCAAACCATCTCAATTGGGTTGAGGTCAGGGGATTGTGGAGGCTAGGTCATCTGATGCAGCACTCCATCACTCTTCTTCTTGGGAAAATAGCCCTTACACAGCCTGGAGGTGTGTTCGGGTCATTGTCCTGTTGAAAAACAAATGATAGTCCCACTAAGCCCAAACCAGATGGGATGGCGTATCACTGCAGAATGCTGTGGTAGCCATGCTGGTTAAGTGTGCCTTGAATTCTAAATACATCACAGACAGTGTCACCAGCAAAGCATCCGCACACCATAACACCTCCTCCTCCATGCTTTACGGTGGGAACTACACATGCGGAGATCATCCGTTCACTCACACCGCATCTCACAAAGACACGGCGGTTGGAACCAAAAATCTCCAATTTGGAACTCCAGACCAAAGGACACATTTCCACCGGTCTAATGTCCATTGCTCGTGTTTCTTGGCCTAAGCAATTCTCTTCTTATTATTGGTGTCCTTTAGTAGTGGTTTCTTTGCAGCAATTCGACCATGAAGACCTGATTCACACAGTCCCCTCTGAACAGTTGATGTTGAGATGTGTCTGTTACTTGAACTCTGTGAAGCAGTTATTTGGGCTGCAATTTCTGAGGCTGGTAACTCTAATTAACTTATCCTCTGCAGCAGAGCTAACTCTGGGTCTTCCATTCCTGTAGCGGTCGTCATGAGAGCCAATTTCATCATAGCGCTTGATGGTTTTTGCGACTGCCCTTGAATAAACTTTTCAGGATTGTCTGACCTTCATGTCTTAAAGTAATGATGGACTGTAATTTCTCTTTGCTTATTTGAGCTGTTGTTGCCATAATATGGACTTGGTCTTTTACCAAATAGGGCTATCTTCTGTATACCCCCCTACCTTGTCATAACACAACTGATTGTCTCAAACGCATTAAGAAGGAAAGGAATTCCACAAATTAACTTTTAAGACCTGTTAATTGAAATGCATTCCAGGTGACTACCTCATGAAGCTGGTTGAGAGAATGCCAAGCGTGTGCAAAGCTGTCATCAAGGCAAAGGGTGGCTATTTGAAGAATCTCAAATATAAAATATATTTTGATTTATTTAACACTTTTTGGGCTACTACATGATTCCATGTGTGTTATTTCATAGTTTTGATGTCTTCACTATTATTCTACAATGTGATGCGTGATTTGAAGGAGTCAGGCACAGGAGGGGAAATCACAGTATACAGAGTTTATTCCGTAATACAGCGTTAACCAGTCCAGTGCGCAAAACAGGCGCACTGGAACAAACAGGCACAGGGGAAAATACCCATACAAAATACACTGAGCTCAACCGAGCTATTATCTCCTCACAATAAACAATCACCCACAAGGACAAGGGGGCAGAGGGAACACTTATACACATACTAATGAGGGGATATGAACCAATAGACAAGATTGGTGTATTGTCTATTACAAGTGTGTAATAGACAAGACAAAACAAATGGAATGATGAGATATGGAGCGGCAGTGGGTAGATCTATGTATTCTATTTCTATGTTGGGAGTTCGAGTTTGTTTATTTCTATGTTGGCCTGAGTGACTCCCAATCAGAGGCAACGAGTGTCAGCTGTGGCTGGTTGTCTCTGATTGGGAGCCATATTTAAACTGTCTGTTTTTCCCTTTGTGTTTGTGGGTTCTTGTTTCTAGTTGGTTTGTGTTAGACCGTGAACTGTCACGTTATCGTTTTGTTGTTTTGATCGTGTATCATAAATAAAGAGTATGTTCGTCTGCAACGCTGCGCCTTGGTCCTCATCTCTTACCGACGATCGTGACAGAAGAACCCACCAAAACTGGACCAAGCAGCGTGTCCAGGAGCCATCGCCAGGGGAATCGCTAGCAGATCTCCGTGGCAACCTCGACTGGGTCAAGCCTAGTGAGGAGCAGAGAGGGTGGACTTGGGAACAGTGGAGGAAGAGCTTCAACTGGGTCAAGCCAAATGAGGAGCTGAATGGCGGGAGTTGGAAGCAGAAGAGCGAGAGTTGGGCGAGAACTATAGAGGCCTGGCCCACGGGGAAGAGAGACCCCCAGAAATTTTTTAGGGGGGGGGGCTCACGACGTCGGGGCAGCAGGAGGCCGCGATAGAGCGGTCCAGCGGGTTGGCAGAGGAGGCCGCCAGGTTACGGGGGCCACTGGTCGAAGAGGGGATGGAAGGTGTAGAGGCATGGCGAGAGGTACTGGGGTGTGTTACCAGTCCGGTCCGGCCCGTTCCAGATCCCGGTGTAGGGCCAGTGGTGTGTGTCCCCAGTACGGTCCGGTCTGTTCCTGCTCCTCGCACCAAGCCTACGGTGCGCGTCGCCAGCCCGGCCCGGCCTGCTCCTGCCCCTCGCACCAAGCCTACGGTGCGCGTCGCCAGCTC